TCTTGGGTAAGCTGGAGAGAGGTGCCAGCAGTGGACCATGGGAGGTCAGCCCGCCACGTCTCACTCTGCCTGGGTCCCCTCCCTTCCACTGACCCTCAGGACTCCTCCTGCTCCTGTGGACGTCATCTTCTGGAATCTGGCTGCTAAAGGCCAGGGCTCTAGATGGTGCCTGGGTCTTGGCGGTTCTGGACCCTAAGGAACTGCCCCACCCCACCACCATTCACAGTGCTGCGGGGTGGTCCGCGCTCGGCCCTCGGTGCTCCCCTGGGGGCTCGGAGGGGCAGCTGGTCCGAGTGTGGATGTCAGAGCTGCACATCTACCCAGTGTGTTTGTCCCTGTGCCCTGCCGTGTCGTCAGAGGTGCACAGAGATGCCAAGGCCCGTAACTGTCCTGGTGACGCTCATCTACCAGCCACTGTCAGTAACACTGACTGTCGTTCTTATTTGTTCGTTTTTTGTTTTTTTGTTATCCTCACCTGAGGACATTTTTTTGCATTTATCTTCAGGTAGAGGGGGAGGGAAAGAGGGAGAACGAGAGAGAGAAACATCAATGTGAGACACATCGACTGGCTGCCACCCACATGACCCCAACCGGGGCCGAGGACAAACTGCAACCGAGGCACATGCCCTTAGCAGGAACCGAATCCAGTACTCTGGTCTGTGGGCTGACGCTCTAACCACTGAGCCGAACCGGCCAGGGCCTGACTGTCGTTTTAGCAGGCACGCATGTAGCACCACTGTGCGGCCTGGCGCGGTCCCTGTGCTTCCCCCGGCAACTGGGCTTATCCTCACAGCTGTGTGGGGGCAGAGCTGCCACCACCCCATGTAAGCATGAGGAATCAAGCACAGGAAGGCTCGGTGAGCTGCTGCAGGTGTCATGGGTGGTGGGCATAGCTGGGATCGGGTCTCGCAGAGCTGCCCTGGTGCTGTGTGGCACAGTGGTGGCTGGGATTGAGGGGCTGCTTTTCTGGGGCTGCCGTGGGTGACAGGGTCCTTGGGTCTCTGCCCATGCTCCCTCCGTTTCTTGGGTACCCCTGAGGTTGGTTGACAACAGTCATTCACGGCTCAGGTCCGCTCGGTGAGGTGGGCAGCTTCAGTTAAGCCCATTTCACAGATGGCGACATTGGAGCTCCAAATTGTGAAGCAGCCTGTGTGGATCTCAGAGCCAGAGTGGCGGGACACCACTGTTAAGACCATCTGTGGCCCTCTGGAGCCAGGGCTCTTAGCCGGGCTCCCCACAGCCTGCCCTCTGCTACTCCCCCCCTTTCCTGGGTGGTACGGCACTGGTGCCCATCAGGGCTTCCTTGACACCTTCTGGAGGGGCCTGGATGGCTCCCTTCCATTCATGAGGCTCTTTACTGCCCACAGAGAGCAGCACGTGGGCACGTGTGCCCTCTGCTCTCCAGAGACCACGTGTGGTGCTTCCGAGGACTGCATGCTTACTGTGCTCCAGGCACTGTTTTAAGCACTTTGTGGGAGTTAGTGTCATTTAAACATCAGCGTAATCCTGAGGAGTGAGCATTCGTATTATGCCCATTTAACAGATCAAGAAACTGAAGCCCAGAGAGCTTCTGTAATTTGCCAGAGGTCACGCAGTTCTAAGTGGTGGAACTCAAGACTGGCGGGGTGAGTGGTCCTCACAGCATGAGGTGAAGGGTGGCCTCGGTGACTCCCCAGGCAATAGGAGGGACACTTCTGACCCTGCCTGCACAGGTTAGCATGGCTAGTGTCTCCCTGCACTTCTTCCCATGGCTGTGTGTGCTCTGTGCACACCTTACCAGGCCTTCCCACCCCGGAACTCTTCATGCCTGGTACTCCTCTCCAGTCCCAGAGCCCGTGCTCCGTGGTTCCTTTTCATGTCCCACCCCACCGAGTGCCCAGAGCAGACACACCGGACCAAAGGGGCTTGCAGGCAGGACGGTTCATCAGAGCAGACGCGCTCAGCTCAGCCGTATACAGAGAGCCAGTCTGGGCACACCTGCAGACATGCTCAGAAACCTGGATGGACACCCAGCCCACTGGGCTGTCTTTCTGTGCTGTGCGATCCCTGCGTGCCACTGTCTGTCTGGCAGTCCTCCTGATTCTGACAGTACGCAGACTCCTTTTCCGGCTGCAGATGCCCACGTGTTGGTATTAACCAGCGTTTGTGTCTGAACAGACCGTGTTGCTTTAAGCCATGCTGACAGCATGCACTGGACCCGTCTGTCCGCCGTGCGTCTTCCCGCCGCCGCCTGCAGTGCGGCCTCTGTGCTCAGGCCAGGGGGTGCTGCTGCTGCCTCGCTCCCCGTCCTGCCCCTCCTCGTTGTAGGCATGTGGTGTCCTGGCATCTGTGTTGTGCCCTGGCTACTTAACACACACATCCCATCTGCTCACAGCATCCTTGGCCCTGCTACTCCACCAGTCTCCCGTCATTTTATTCCCTTTAAGGAAAAACACTCCAATAGTGATAGGAAAGCGAGGGCTGTCCTTGACCAAGCAAGGGGGTGGCCTGTGTCATTGGAGGAAAGCTCTGAATGTTCCCATGATGCCCCCATCCCTCCTGCATGCGTGGTGGTCCCAGGAAGAGCGAGGGCTGGGAGGGCGGGGCGGGCAGCGGGCGCACCATCTGTGGCCGTCCTTTGTGCTGGCAGCCGAGCAGTCCCTCCATCACTGTGATCCAGCGCCTCGTGCTTGGCTTGCAAATGAGTCTCCAGATGCCCGGTGCCCCCCGCACAAGAAGCAGTAACTAGGGGCCTGGGAGAAGAATGGAGCAATCTAGAAACTCATTTGTTTGTTCCAGCCTCTGAGCAGGCTGCTTCCCCTCCAGCTGCAGCAGATGTGTGCTAGGCGCCCACTCCAGGGGCGTTTTGCCATGGTTTCTGGGCAGACACATGCGGGGGGGAGGGGGGTCTTCTCTCCAGCACTCTCCTTCCTGAGCAGGGGTGGCAAGGTGAGCCCCACAGAGAGGGGCAGGACACGTCTCTTAAGACACAGCTAGCCCATTGGCACCCCAGCCTGGACCAAGAAATAAGTACACTGTTGGGAGGGGCACAGGCTGTGTTTCAGCCCCACGTGGTCGGGCATCTTTGTGCACCACACAAGCTGAGCAGATGTGCCCAGCAGCCCTGGTGGGACCCTTGCCCTCCTGCCCCGTTCCCTGTAAGAACCAGTGCTCTTTCCTTGCCCTTGGACCCTCAGCCTGCCCATGGGCATGTGGGCACGTCTCTCCCAGGCAGCTACCAGCAGGACTGGATGGACACGGTACTTCTGCGGGTCCCAGCACCTGCCTCTTGGTCCTGCCTACTCAGTGAGCCCACTGCCCCCACTCCTGATGAGCTGGAGCCTGGCAGGGTCTCGGAGGGTCCCCAGCCTTGCTGATGGGGGACCCTCTTCAGGATCTGAGCGGTTTAAAGTAACAGCCCTGCCCAGTCACTCTTGGGCATGTGCATTTGGGCACCTTCCCCAGTGCTGGCTGAACGTGGTAAAGGATGGATTCAGACGAGGCCTGTGATTCAGAGGGGTGGAGACCATGCCACTTGGTTTTTGCCTTCTGAAGGGTTTAAGCTCCTCCTCGACATTCTGGTCCAGCATTAGTCTCTGTCACCAGGTGTGTGGGGCAGGGCACCATCTGTATTTCTGGCCCTCTCTGGTTACTGTGAGCGAGTGACATCATCTGCCTGAGCCTCAGTCTTCTCATCTATAGAATGGAGTAACAGCTGACATTCTAGATCATGCAGGGCAGATTCAAGGAAAGGCCGCAGAAAGACGTTACATAGCTTTTGGGTGGAGACCCTGGAAATGAGGGAGGGGGCTCTGTATCCAGCCCAGTGGCTGGAGCAGTCCTGGGTGTATAAGGCTGCTGGCCACCGCATCTGGTAGACTACTTCCAGGACTATCAGATCAGCCTGGTTGAAATGTTCATGGCAGGAGTGGGGCATTGGCAGGGGTGTAGTCACCCCTTCTGGCTTCTGCACAGTTCCAGCTGTTCCCCCCTCTGCTCCGCTGCGCGACAGAGTGGGTTTCATGGAGCTCATGGAGTTGGGGGGGCTGCATGGGAGGAGATTGGGGCAAGAGTCATTACCTCTCTGCCCCTGCAAACCAGCAGAGGCCCAGAGAAGGTCTGTGAGCTCCTCGGGGTCACACAGCAAGCTGGTGACAGCCTAGCCCTCCTGACTCCTCACTCCCTTCCCAGTCCTCCGCCCCCTCTTGCCTTTGGAAAGACTGACCAGAGATGCTGACCTTGAGGGTGTTTTGGCCTCTGGTGGCCACACTGGGACAGTGAAGGATGAAGGAATGAATGTCTGCACTTTCCTGCGAGTGACATTAGCTGCTTTTCTCCGGGTTTCAAGGCCTCTCTGGGCCTGGGTGTGGAGGGATCTCGTGTGTTCCTGCCTTTGGTGCCCTTGGGAGACTAGGTCAGCCCCACCCCACCCCGGGCAGCCCTGTGCCCTGGAAGCCCTTTGTCTTCGCCAGCCTGTGCCCAGCAGCACAGGGCCAGTCCCGCCTCAGGTCTGACCGCAAGCCGTGAGCACGCGTGCTCAGTGCAGCCTTCTGTGGGAGGGTCTCGGAGAATCCTGCAGGTGCCCCGGGGCTGTCCACAGGCTCCAGGAAGGCTCTGGATTTTGATTCCACCTTGTGACTGTGGCTCCATCCATGGGGAGAAGCCACATGGAGCTGCTTGTCCAGAGTCAGGGGAGGGGCCGCACTGAGAGTCTGCAGGCAGCTCCTGGACTCACTCCGCATGGGGTCTTTGTCTGGCACCCCTGGTCTCCACTTGGCATCTCTGCCCGTCCTCCACCCTCTTGACTCCCCTCTTTGCCATTAAAATCGGCCCTCCGCAGCGCCACTCCTACAGCCAAGATTTCAGGGGGTGTTAGTCCCACTTCGCAGGGGAGGACGCTGAGACCTCCTGAGCAGGCTCAGTGAGTCTCCTGGGCCACACAGGTGGGGAGCAAAGCCAGCGTCGCTGACACGGGAGAGCGAGGTGGCCCAGGTCCCCTGATCGTCCTCTCTTCCTTGCAGCCTTGCTGTCCTCCTGGTGCGAGGAGCTCGGCCGCCTGCTGCTGCTCCGACACCAGAAGAGCCGCCAGAGCGACCCTCCCGGGAAACTCCCCATGCAGCCCCCCCTCAACTCCATGAGCTCCATGAAACCCACTCTGTCGCACAGGTGAGTAGGCGTGGCCCCAGGCCAGCCGGGCTGCTTGGGTGGGTCACAGATCTCCTTAGAAACACCCCTCGGCTGGAGAAAGGGGTGGGGCCTCTACCACGCCTCAGAGATGTTACATTTTCGAAAATGCAGTTGTTGAAATCCTCGTGGGTGAGCGCTGTTCCCCCATCAATCAAAGGTCAGAAGCCCTGGTCTTACCCAGCCTGGCTGCTTTGTCCCTTTGAGGGAGAGCTGTCTCTCTTCGGGTCCAGACTTCTGGTGGAAGGTTAGCAGTCCTGAACCCAGCACCCTCCCTCTTTCCTGAGCAGTGTCTTAGGCAAACCCAGAGATATCGGGGGCAGGCAGGGGCTCAGGAAGGTCACAGGGCTGCTGGTCCCAGATGGGGACAGAGCCCACCCAGGCTCCACCATGCAGGAGCCAAGTTAGGCGGGGCCACCAGAAGGCGCGGGTCACAGGAACAGGCTTGTGAGAGGCCACCAGGCACCAGGGAACCGGCCAGCCGCCCTGCACCAGCCTCAGAAGGAGCACGTGGTCAGGTCCTGCATGTTTCCCAGTTAATTATCTTGCCAATCCCTTGCTGAGCAGGGGGCTCTCTCCTGGTGCTCTGTAGACTGACCCTGGACCACAGGGCCCTTCATGCTGTCTGCTCCCCCCGTGCGGGTCCCCACTGGTGACCAGGAGAGGCATTTGCAGTCAGCTCAGCTCATCACCCGGCCTGACAGGCACCTGCAGCCCACAGCTCACAGCAGGCGACGCGGGCGCCCCGCCGAGGCACTGCCCGGAAGCAGAGCGCTCCACGCTTTGTAATCCAAATCAGAGGCTGTTGACTCCCCAAGCCCAGACCGCAGAGCTCCTGAGTCCGAGCCCTGTCCCGACAGGATGGGCCCGACACATGGCTCCCGGGCTCCGTCAGAAGCACTGCGCAGCCGCAAGCCCACCACCCACCCTTGGCCAGACCTAGGGCACCTCCAGCTTATCCGCCCTTTTGTGGGTGTTTCTTGGGGAGACGGGGTTACTGTTGGCATTTGGGCAATCCTTTTTTTCCCTAAGGTGTGGTACTTTGCTGTGCCTTTAATGTCTTGGTCCCTGCCCACTCGACTGTTCTAGTGACCCTCGGGCATTGCTGACATGCGCTCATGTATTTAGGGGTGGGTGTGAGGGTATCACTGCTTCAGAGAAGCAGAACACACCTTCCTCCTCCTTCCACCCTTGGCTCCTGGCCACAGGTCTCCTCCATCTGAACTGCTGCCTGGCCCTGGGTGGGGGCTGTGGCTCAGTGCATCCCGAGTTACATACTTTGCATTTAGCCTTGTGACGTTTTAGCCCCCAAATCTGCGTCCCACAGGGATCATCCTGCCCCTCGTCACCCCACCTCTCATGTCCTTTCCAGCCTCTCTCCTGATGGCGGGCCAGGGCCCTGCAGCCCCCATCACAGACCTGTCTCCAGCCTGCTTGGCCAGGACCACGCGGGGTGCAGAGTACGTGGGCCTGGACCATGCCAGCCCTTTGCCAGGTCTTTGCTGAGTCGAGCTGAAGGCATGAGACTCAGTCTTGGGGTTAAACAGACAAAGGGCGTCTGTGCTTCGGGGGCCGAACCCTGCCCACTGGGGAAGCAGGGCTCCGAGGCGCTGCTGGGAGCGGGCAGGTCGAGGCAGCGTCAGGGCTGGGTGCAGGCGGACTGTCAGGTGCTGGTCAGAGGACAGCTTGAGTAGCACAGGCTTGACTGCGGGTCAGCTGGAAAGTCCACGTGTCCGTGGACCTGCACTGACGTCATCCTCCGCAGCCGTCTTCAGGGATGTGGAGGAAGCAAGCTCCTTGGAAGCCTGTTCACTAAGGAGCTGGTGGGCCAGGATGAGCTTGGGGACCCTGCGATGTTTAGATTTGGTGCTTAGAGGTGCCTGGCTGTTTGAAGACTCAGGTCCTGTTTGCGGGCTCTGAGGACAAGCAAACAGGAGAGGGAGAAGAATCCCTGAGAGCTTGAAGCCCCAGGCTCTTTTGCGGGGACCCTAGGACTTGGATTTTGTAGCTCAGGTCCTGCAGCCCCGTCCTTTCCAGGCCATGCGCCCCAGCACAAGGCTGTGCTTGGGGCCTGTGCCTCCAGGCAAGGCCATGGGAGCGCTCAGCACCAGGAGGAGGCGTCAGAAAGGGTCAGGTCACTGCAGCCCCAAGGCATCCCTGAGGGTGGTGGTGGTCAGGAGGAATCCTGGGTACCCTCGGGCTTGGGCAGAGCAGCAGGGTTTTCCCTACCTATCTGGTCTCGCCCACGGAGCGTAGGTGGGCGCAGGCCCTGAGCAGCAGGGAAGCTGGAGGGGACAACTCAGGCAGCAGGACCCCTTCCCAGTCCCGGCACTGTGACCCCGACTTGACACCAACAAGTAGTTCTGCCTTTCGCTCCCAGACTTCATGAGTGGTTAAAAAACCATTTGTGATTAGCATATTGTCTGTATGCAAATCAGTGCTGCAAAGGTAATTAAAAGCCTAATAAATCTTGTTTATACTCTTAATTTGATTACAGTCAAAGCCCGAAATTGCTAGGGAGGGCTCTGAGGCAGAGTGGCACCCTTCTTCCAGGCGAGGGGTGCGCGGCCCCAGAGAAGGGGCTCCCGGACAGGCCCTGGTGCTACACTGGAACTTGGGCGGGCCCTGTTCGGGGCACAGGCCCTGGGGCCAGCTCTGCTGTCTTCTAGCTGGGTGACTCTGGAGCAGTTCCACAACTTCTCTGGGCCTCAGCTTCCTTATCTGTGCAAGTGGGAAACAGCAAACCTACGTGCTCGTCCCCAGGCCTGGCTGCTACTCTCCCAGCCTCAGCCTGGTGGCATACGACTCTGTGGTCATTCATGGTCAGCTCACAAGGAAGGGGTCTCCTTGCCTTGGTCACATCACACCACCTTTGCCACTTTCATGTTTAGCTCTTTGCACAGCTGCACCTAAAGCTCAATTTGTAATCAACCCTTCTTGCCCCCAGAAAATAAAATAAAAAAGCAGTGAATGAAAGGGGAATTGACAGACTCTTACATCTTGCCCCATCGGTTCCAGATTGCCAAAGTGCAGGGATCTTTTCCTTTCCTCCTTCCTATTGAAAAAATTTAAAACCCTCTAATATGCAGTTAGCTGCACAAGTTCTTCCCTAAGTTTCACCGCGGGAAGAAAGGAAGCAGGTCCCAGTAATTGTGATGATGGAGAGTGCTGTTAATGGTTCCCCTAAATTAAAGAGGGTGGGAGCTTCAGCTCCTCACTGTCTTGTGTTTCATTAGCTGTAACACTACAGCCTTGCACAGAGAGGGGGCCGGTATAGCTGGGTCAGGGGAAATTCATCAGGGTCTGACAATGCCCGCAGTCGGAATTCGTTATTTCTCCCAAATGAAGTGGCTGTTAGAAGTGCAAGGAGAGAAATAACTCAGCCCTCCTATTCTTCCCCCCTTGAAGGTCTGCAGACAGTGCCACAGGAGGTACCCAGGAACCAGGAATCAGTTCTCCCTCTTCCTTGGCTTGCCTCATTTTTTCACATTTAGCAAACACCGGCCACTACCCATGGAGCTGGCAAACAGACCTGTGAACCAGCTACTCTCACTGCAGTGTGAAGAGCTCTTCCTAACATATATGAGAAATGTGCTGAGGGAACTGAGGAAAATTCCCTTGCTTCTGTTTAGGAGAGTCACAAAAGGGAGTATCCAGGCTGGGCTTTGAAGTATAGGTAGGAGTTCACTAGCTAGAAAAGGGAAGATGGAGGAACACTGAGGAAAGAGCCTCAGAGGCTTGGAAGACAGGTTCAGTAGGAACGATAAGGACCCCCTCCCGTGGATAGCATAGTTGCAGAACTCCTGAGCACCCTCCTGTGTCGTCAAGCGAATGTGAGTCCTTACCTGGCAGTCAGGCTGGAGAAATGGAGAGAAAAGGGTAAGTTCCGTTGAACAGCGACTGTGCCAGGCACTGTGCTAAACTTTGCCTGCATTTGTAGGAGGGCTAAGTTATTTCTTTCATCCTAGGAGAGTGTTAGTCCCACTTTACAGATGAGAAAGTTGAGACTGACTTATAACATGTCCCATGTCGTGGAAATCACCGATAGCAGAGCCAAGACTCCCCTAGAGTCTAAGTTCAGAGCCCAGATAGGTGAGCACTGTCCGACAGTCTTCCTCTGCCATTTGAATGTTACCTTCACAAATGTTAAGTCAGCCCCTGAATATTTGCCAGTATACTGAGTTCAGGCCAAAGCTAGCGATTTCATGTAAAAAGTGTTTTTTTTTACATCAAATGACCCAGACTTACATATACTTGGATACGAAATCAAGACATAAGTTCAAGGACAATATTCATCCTTACTAAGCAACCATACTTGATTGCTTTGTTTCGGTCCCTTTTTGTGCCTTATGCCAGTTTGATGTCATGACCTGCTCCTGTTTCACGACCAGCATCTTGAAAACACAGAGTGAGGCACCGCTTGGGTTTTCTCTGCAGCTAGTCTCTGAGGCCAAACTTGACATGGGCTCGGTCCCACATGCTGAGTGGCTTCCCAGAGATTACATCCTCAAGGAGCCCTGAGAAACTACCTTTTTCTGTCATCTCCATAGCGTGTGCTTCCTTGTGTTGTACCGTCTTGGGAGGGATCAGCTGTCTACTAGATCCTAAGCTCCCTTAGATGGTAGGATGGGCAGGCCACTGGCATTTTGGCCCTTGAACTCCGGGATCCGATGAGCCTCAGCTCCTAAGAGATGCTTCTGTTCAGCCCACTTACAGGGATTAAACAGATTCTTAAGTGAGCCCAGCCGGCGTGGCTCAGTTGGTTGAGCGTCAGCTTGATCTGCAGTGTGGGTTGTGCAGGAGGCGATCAGTGATGCTTTCTCTCTCATCCATGTTTCTCTCTCTACCTCACCCTTCCTCTCTTTCCAAAATCAATTAAGAAAACATATTAAAATATATATTTTTTAAAAGTTCTTAAGTGAAGGCCACTTCGCATTATTTGTGTGTGGAAGCCACATCATAACAAGAGCAGCAGTAACTGCAGCCAGTGGTTTTAAGGTGCCGACGTGTGCTGGACACAGTCATTTTGCCTCACACATGTGAGCTTGCTTAATGCTCATGACAACCTCTGGGGACCGTTACCATCCCCATTTTACAGATGACGTTGAAGTGCACAGAGAGTGAGCAGGGGCTGTGTTCGCTTCCCTCTGCCCCTCTTCCTGGAGAGCAGAACCTCCTACTTCTTGGGCGCGGGTGCCCCTGTGGTCACAAGCACGCTGTAGGTGGTCGGCAACCAAACTTAATGCTGTTTCTCCCTGTCACTGACTAGCGAAGGCTCCTGAATCCTGTGGGTGTATGAAGGCACCTTGCCAAGCTCAGGGAGCCTGAGGACTCAGCTGCTGGGCAGCAGGAAGGCGGCAGGAGGGCTGGTGCAGACCCCAAAAGCATGAGGAACAAGTGGACTTCAGGCCATTGGATATGGCAGGGGCTTCCTGGAGAAAGTGGCCTTTGAAGGAGGAGCCTCGAAAGGATAAGTGGCATTTTTCAGAGAGGAGGTGAAGCGTCCCAGGCTGAGAAGGAGGCACAGAGGCGGGGAAGCAGCCAGCGGGCTCCGTGTTAGACGGTGTTGGCAGGAGAACACCTGTGAGGCTCCAGGTGGCTTCTGGCACAGGTGCCTCTGTGGCGAACAGTGGCCGGGGCAGCTGGCGGCTGGGGGCCGGGTCATGTTGGGTCGAGGATGTACAGAGCTGGGCAGGATTACCAGGAGTGGGGTTCTCAGATCCCAGGAGCTCTGACCTCCCTCTGAACATCAGCCAGGTATGGACAGAGGAGGGAAGTAGTTCCCAGTAGGCAGCCCTGAAATGCCAGGGACCGCTGGCCTGGGCTGAGCATGTCTGCTGGTTAAATAGGACTTGCCAGAGGACGAAAGGGGCCTCAGGACCCGCCTCCACACACATACAGATCTGTGGGTCTTCTCTGTATCACTCTGGGTCCCCTCTCACCCGGGTAGGGCCCAGGAGCCAGGCAGGCCCCCAGTGGTGACATCTGGGTCTGGGCAGCAGCATCAGACTGCCACGCCTGTGGGGGCGAGAGCCTTCACTGTGACAGCAGGAGCTGTCTCCCCAGGAGATGAGTCACAGCCCTGTTGGTGCGGCTGCCACTTCTGCTTCTGCTGCAGGTGCAAGAGGAGCCGAGCAAGTTCCCGAGACCACCCTGTGTGCATGACCGTCTCTTCCCCCAGGTGTGCACAGCAGCGTGCCAGTAGGGCTCATGTGTACACACACACATGTCCCTTACATACTTGCACACAGGCGTACACCTGGGCTCTGGGGTGAACCTGCCAGCCAGATGGCAGAATGCCCAGTTTGGGAACATTGGTTAAGTTTGCTTCTCACCAAGTTTGGGGAGAGGGGAGCGAAACAGGAAGGAGCCAGTTTCCGCCCACAAGGCCCACCCACGGAGTGGCAGGCAGTTGGAGCTTGTTTGTGGGCCTGTGAAGTATCCTGGTGAGCTGGGGCCTCCCCACCTACAGTGGTGAGGCAGCAGCTGCTGGCCGTTGGGTGCTCAGTAGGGGCCCTGAGGGGCTCTGGGGGTTCCCAGAGGGCTTTACTTTCTGATCCTGCCAGGTGTCCAGGTGGACGGCAGCCTGCAGCACGGACGGGAGCTCATGGACCTGAGTCCTGGGGAGAGAGGACAGACTCGGCTTGTGCTCGGGTCCGTTGCTGGGGGTCCCGAGTTCAGTCCAACCACACCTAGGGCAGAGGCCCCGCAAGAGAAAGGGTGTCCAGGGTTCCTTCTCCGTTGTTCTGAACTGTAGCCAACAGGCCTGCCTGGGAACACGCAGCATCCCGAGTCCCTGCAGGCCTCCTGGGAGAGCAAGCAGAGGTTTTTCCAGCCCAGCCACACCCAGGAGCACACTCCTTGTTTACTTTCCTGTGCTTCTCCACCCACCCATTCTCTGGGTCCCCGTCGCACCCCAGATACACTGTGAGCTGCCTGTGTCACCTTTGTGCCTCAGCCTCAGCCTCAGCTGATGACCCAGGTCCTATCTAGCCAGCAGGGGGCAGGCAGGAGGGCTGGTGCCCCCAGAGCGCTCCTCTCCCCTGTTCGGGCCTGTTTTCCCCCGAAGTCATGAGAGGGGGCAGAGTCTGTCTCTGTCCAGTTCTGAAAACCTTTCCCTCTGCACTCTCCTCTTTGATGCACCTGTGTTGTTCAGTCCTGCTCGACCCCCGGTAAACATGCGTCTCACCCCGTGACCAGGTGCTTCTCACCTGGAGTGCCCGGCTTTCATGCTCGGATGTGAAATCAGGGTGTCCGTTCGTGGACGAGATCCAGCCTCACCGAGTGACCACACTCGATCCCTTCGCTTCAGCCCTCTCCGCTCCCCTTACACCGGTGTGATGTCGTGACCTGCTCCTGACCAGCATCTTAAAAACTCGGAGTGGGTGGTGATCGTGGGAGGGTACCTTCTTAAGCCCATTTTTACAGACGAGGACCCTGGATGCAGTGATGCTCAGGACCGTGCACCAGGTCCCTGATCCAGGGAGGGTCAGGACCGAAAGAGCCAGGGTTAGCGGAAAGTGAGTGGAGGGGGGCTGCTCTGCACCGGGTCGGGACGGGCCCCCCAGAGAGGTAACTGTCGAGCAGAGACAAGAAGGAAGCCCAGGACTGGCCCAGCAGGGAGGGTACCAGGCAAAGGAAGAGCAAGCATGGTGCACAGCAACATGGTCCTGCCCTCCAGTCTGAGCACCTCTGCAGGGTGCCCACCTGACTCCACCCACACTGCCAGGTGCTCTGCCTGGCAAGGAGCCGGTGCTGCAGGACCCAGACCCTGGCCCCCTCCATGCCTGGGTACGGGACAGGCCCCCTCCATGCCTGGGTACGGGACAGGCCCCCTCCATGCCTGGGTACGGGACAGCCCCCCTCCATGCCTGGGTACGGGACAGCCCCCTCCATGCCTGGGTACGGGACAGGCCCCCTCCATGCCTGGGTACGGGACAGCCCCCCTCCATGCCTGGGTATGGGACAGCCCCCTCCATGCCTGGGTACGGGACAGGCCCCCTCCATGCCTGGGTACGGGACAGCCCCCTCCATGCCTGGGTACGGGACAGGCCCCCTCCATGCCTGGGTACGGGACAGGCCCCCTCCATGCCTGGGTACGGAACAGCCCCCTCCATGCCTGGGTACGGGACAGGCCCCCTCCATGCCTGGGTACGGGACAGCCCCCCTCCATGCCTGGGTACGGGACAGCCCCCCTCCATGCCTGGGTACGGGATAGGCCCCCTCCATGCCTGGGTACGGGACAGGCCCCCTCCATGCCTGGGTACGGGACAGGCCCTCCTGAGGCCCTGTCCTCTGAGGTGTGCGCGAAGGGCTTTGCCTTCTGCTGACTTCCTGTCGTGATGCACAAGCCAGACAGATGCTCTCCTGCTGCGCCCCCCTCCAGAGCCTGCTCCCCTACTCTCCAGCAGACGCCATGTAGACCCCACCCACCTTGGGATGCCGTGGGCTGAGGTGGGACCACAATTGTGGGCACGATGCTTGTTTACCTTTCCTGGGACTTTGCCTGGGATTTTCTGTCAATGCAAGGTCCCAGAGAGTCAGTGCAGGAGGGGCTGAGGGATGAGGCAGCCCCAGCCGGGCACTCCAGGGCTGAGACCCCACCGGCCCTCTCTGGAGCTGTCCTGGTCCTCTTCCCTGGGTCTGCTGGGCCTCACCCTCCATCTGCAACATGCATTTAACAGGAAGCCATTATTGAGCACTTACTGTGTGCAGGGCAGGGCCTGTGTTTCGGTCCTAGCTTCCGATGTTTGAGATGTCACCAAGCAAGGTGGGCACTGCTAGGCCTAGCGAGGTGACTGGGAAGATGTGGAAACAGCTCGATGCTCTGGGACTGGTGGGAGCCATGCCAGCAGGCAGGGTGGGGTGGGATCAGGGTAAATCATTCTGCAGTGTCATTTTGGACTTTGCCTTGCAACACTGGAGCAATTGAAAATCTTTGTGCCTAGTGTCTTGGGTGCTGGAGGGAGCTTAGGTCAGCAAGGGTGTGCACAAGAGACTGGGGTGGGAGCAGGTTAGCCTGTACCTGTGATACGGGGTTCGGAAGAAAGGGATGGAAGGAAGCTCCTTACAAAGGCCAAGTCAGCTTGGCTGGGAAGCCAGCGCCCCATGAGGGGCTGGAGGAAGGGAAAGAGCTAGCACTCAGACTGGCGCCCTTCCGAACATGTCCAGGAAGTTCCAAGGGATGGCTGGTGTGGGGGACAAGAGTTCTCTCTAGAGCTGCTTAGAATCTGAGCGTGGTTGACGCAGGAGCTTAGGTTGAGCCTGTGGGTCTCTCCTCCTCCTCCTCTGTAGTGTAGCCTGTGGATTTTAGGCGAGGGTGAGACAGACAGCCATGGGGGTGCCACCTCTTCGGTATTGGGGGTGGGGAGGAGAGGTGGTCACCCTTGCACAATCTGTCACCATTTGAGGTGTACCTATTCTGCACCAGACACTGTGCCAGGCCCTGGGGATGTAGAACCACCGAGGCTTGGCTGGGAGCCACAGAGCATGGTGGGGTGATGGGGTGCACTCTGTCCGAGTCAGCTTCCGCAGCCCTGAGGACACCCTCTGTCTCCCTTTGCAGTGATGGGTCATTTCCCTATGACCCTGTCCCTTGGCAGCAGAACACCAACCAGCCTCCCGGCTCCCTCTCCGTGGTCACCACAGTTTGGGGAGTGACCAACACATCCCAGAGCCAGGTAAGAGCCTGTCCTGCCCCCAGCCATAGCCCCTCCAGGTGGGACCATCCCTCGAGCCCTGGGGCCTGCGGTCACCAGGCCATGCCAGCCCTCCTTGCTGTCCCAGGCTCTGCCCAGCTGGAAAGACCAGCGTGCAGGGCACACCCAGCTGCGGACACGTCTCCACCCAGGCTGGGCTCACTTGCCTCGGGAGGGCAGCATCTGCCCTGGGCACTGCCCGTCCTAGGGCCTGTCTGGGGAAATAGCTGCCGTCTCACAGATGGGCAGCAGCTTCCTCCCTGACCCGTGTTCACTTTGGTTGGATAAACAGAAGGACTTTATGCGTGTTAAATGCATCAGGGTTCCGTCATCTGGGGTCTTTGACCCTGAATGACCTCGGTTAGATTTCAGCAAAACGTTGATCCTAAACTTGTGGCAATCCCCTAGTCAACCCTGCCTCCCACTCTCTCGTGCCTTCCTCTTTTGTCCACTCCTTCCTCTCTGTGCCCCACCCCCACCTTCTGTCTGCCTTGGCCAGGAGGCAGGCGCAGGGCTGGTCGCTGCCCTGGAGGGGCCACGGGCCCTCAGCCAGGACTCTGCTGCCCTGCACTGCTGGCACGTTGGGCTTCTCTTTGCCTTCAGGGAGTAGACGCCAGAGCCTCTGTGGCCAGCGCTCCGGGCACCCGGGCCCCTTTGCCGGCAGGAGGGCTTAGAGGTCCCATGCTTCACCTCCGCCTGGCGCAGGCCCAGCCGCCCCTCGCGCCCGCTGGCTGCCGTTCTCTTCTGTGCTGCCTGCTCCCAGCGGCTCCTGTCACTGCACTCTGGGACCGTTATGTCCCTTTACCCTCTTTCCTTTCTGGCCCCCTGTGCTCCATTTTCTCGGCCCCCCTTCCCCATTTCTCCTTTTTCTCTCCATGTCACTTGGGGTTACTTACTTGGGTGACAACTACTCTTTCTGCCCACAGGTCCTTGGGAACCCTATGGCCAATGCCAACAACCCCATGAATCCAGGCGGCAACCCCATGGCGTCGGGCATGACCACCAGCAACCCCGGCCTCAGCTCCCCCCAGTTCGCTGGGCAGCAGCAGCAGTTCTCAACCAAGGCTGGCCCCGCGCAGCCCTACCTCCAGCAGGGCATGTACAGCCGGCCCAACTACCCTGGCAGCGGGGGCTTTGGGGCCAGGTGAGCTCCAGCACCGGGCATTCCTTGTCCTCTCCGTCCAGGCAGACCTTGCTTCCTGGCCCCCAGGTGTGAGCAGGCTGGCGCTCGACATCCTCAGCTGTCCCATCGGCTGAAGGGAGAAAGCCCCATTCCTGGGGCACTGCTCCCTGGCACTGCAGCAGCCAGCTAGATGGCGCTGTGACGGCCATCAGGCCCTTGGGGGCAGAAGGATCACGCTCCTCAGAATGACCCTTCTCCTCATGTCTTTATAAGTTGGAAGATACTGAAAGAGCTGGATGAGGGGAGTTCAGGACCAGCTGTAGATGGGGTACAGGGAGATCAGCCCTGCCCTGCTGGTTAGAGAGGCTGAGCGTCCCCCAGTTCAAGAGGAAGAGAAGGGCAAGGAGCCCCAGGAAGGGCTCCAGGGATGTGGTGGGGCAGAGGCTCCCCGTCCTCCTCTTGCCACCCCACTCTGTCCAAGACCTCCTCGACCACACCTCTCCCCAGCTCCCAGAGCTGGCCACAGCCCTGCTAGGTACCAGCACAGCAGGTGGTTAAACGCAGGTGCCGTGCACACCTCAAGTTGCACCCCAGCGGCCGCCCACCTCTGCAGGGCTCTGGGTGTGTTGCTCAGGCTCTCTGAGACCACGCCCTCCTCCAGAGGATGGGCTGAGCAGGGCGCACGAGGTGCAGTGATTAACGCGCGTGACAGTGACGCTGGCCTGCGTCCAGTAGGGCTCCAGGCACACCGCAGCATAGTGGTCACCAGGTGGCATGAATGGCTGCCAACCCACAGGAGACCCCTGTCCCCATCCTCTGCCGCCCAGTCCAGCCATATCTAACTCTTCCCTTCTCTCCCCCGCAGTTACCCAGGGGGTCCTAATGCCCCCGCAAGCATGGGCATCCCTCCGCACACCAGGCCACCTGCTGACTTCAGTCAGCCAGCAGCCGCTGCCGCAGCAGCTGCAGTAGCGGCGGCGGCAGCCACGGCCACGGCCACAGCCACGGCCACTGTGGCAGCCTTGCAGGAGACGCAGAATAAGGATATAAACCAATATGGACCGGTAAGGGCCCCTCTAGTCCTGGTCCAGTCTCGCCTAGCCAGCCTGGCAGACAGCCCCCCGGATATCAGAGTTGGGGTGTTGGTCCCTGTGGGGCCATGTGTGCTGAGGGCACTGATGGTGTCAGGACGTTTGGGTTTTCCTGGAAGCACCTGGAGGTCGTGTGTTAGGAGGTGCATGTGTCTGTGGCTGGGTGCAGTGTGGGGGGTCGGAGGTCAGTGTGTGTCTGCAGATGGGCAGAGAGGTTCCATGTTGCTCTCTGGGCCCCTCCTCACCAAAGGGTTTCAGTGTCTAAAGTGGCCTTGTCACCAGCCTGTCCCCTGGGTGGCCTCTGAAGGCCATTGCTCTCCTAGTCAGCCTGTCTGAATTCCACCCAGCTCCTAGCTCTGCCCTCCTGACCTGCAGAAGGATGGGAGGGTAAGGAGGGGCAGTCCCCAGAGGCATGCAGGACAGAGGTGGAGGTGGGGACTGCAGGATGGGGACAGCAGGGCTGGTGGGCAGAGGTGGGAACTGGGGCCACATCCGGATGGAGGGTGTCTCCATTGGCCAAAGACCAAGGGTGAGGCCAGGGCTTCTAGCAAAGGGGCTCCCCCTCCATCCTCATCCGCCTCCATCCTCCATGTCCTGCCGCCCTGCACCTCTGACCCGTTTCCTGCCTGTCTCCCTGGAAATGCTGCCTGTGCGTTGGAGTGACCATGCCCCACCCCCTGACCCCCGGGTGGCGTCTTTCCTGTGCGGCCTGCGGAGGACAGCAGGGAGCCCAGGAGGCTGGCTGCTCCTAGGGGCCTGTTCGCCAGTGGCAACCACACAGGAAAGTGCCCCCAATCCCCAGCCCCCCATCTCCCTACCCTTCCCTCCCTGCACTTTCAATGCATGTGGCATTTTATTCTTTTTTTTCTTCTTCTCCCGTTGAAGGTCTGTTCCTCTTTCCAGATGGGTCCCACCCAGGCGTATAACAGCCAATTCATGAACCAGCCCGGGCCACGGGGGCCTGCCTCCATGGGGGGCAGCATGAACCCCGCAAGCATGGCAGCTGGCATGACACCCTCGGGGATGAGCGGCCCTCCCATGGGCATGAACCAGCCCCGGCCACCTGGCATCAGCCCCTTTGGCACACATGGGCAGCGGATGCCCCAGCAGACCTACCCGGGCCCCCGGCCCCAGTCCCTTCCCATTCAGAGCATAAAGAGGCCATATCCGGGAGAGGTGAGTGACAGCAGGCTGGTTGGAAGAAGGGAGGGTCCTGGGGCTTGAAGACATGGGGTTGTGGGAAGTACCTTGGAAAGGCATGGATGGACCCCTTTGGACAGCCTGGGCCAAAAGACAGAGCCTGAAGAGTCGGGTGCTGCTGGGTTTATGACCAGCCCTGCCGTTCCCCAGCTGGAAGCTGGGAGCGAGCCCACCCCTCTCTGCCTCTCCGCTTCTTCATCGGGAAGAGCGCGCACGCCAGCCTGCCCCCAGGGCTGCCGGGGGACTGGGGCACGGAGACAGACGTGAAGAGCTGCGCCCTGGCTGGCAGGGGCTGGCGCTTAGAGAGCGCGGCCTCGGCTGGAGTTCGCTGTTGTCGATGCAGACACAGGCTGGGTCGCTTTGGTCAGGAGCTAGGCCTCCATAGGTCCCAGGCCTCACGCCCACACAAGGGCTTCCCACTTCCCTCCAAGAATGAAAGAGGAGACCTCGAACCCTGGCAGTGTCTGAAGGCTGGGCACAGGGAGAAGCGAGTGGAAGGCAGGCAGCCTGTGGCCTTCAGTGGTCAGTGGCTCGGGGGAGTGCCCCCCTCAGGCTGCCCAGCCAGCTGAGCCAAGGGATCTGAGGGTTTAAGGAAAGCAGACCCACACCTCCTGCCCTCTGGGCTTTCGCAGGAAAGAGGTCTGAGCGGGAACCCACAGTGGAGCTCCATGCAGGGTCAGAGAAGGAAGACCCTGCGGGTGTCACAGGGTCCTTAGTGAACACTCAGATAATGAGCTGGTGGCAGTGGCCTTTCTGGAGCGCCTGCAGGAGATGCTGGGGCCCAGCGTCCTGGCTGGGGCGCACCCCTCAGGAAGCCTGCCTTGGTGCCTCACCCGGATAAAGGCCTCCCTGAGCACTCCCCGAACTCTGCGTGTGTGCCTGTTCTCAGACCGGTTTCACCCCTTGGTCTCAGAGCTGTGGCCTCAGCTTGGACCACGGTGGGTTTAACGCCGAAGGACCTTAAACTCCCTGAGGTCTGTGGGCCTCAACACTCAGCTCGGGCTGGCAGGTGGTTTGACCGCTGACGGAGGTGTTCTGAATCCTCAAGGGGGAGATCAGGGACCCCCGAAAACACCCAGGAATTGGGTCAAGCCCTGGCTGCCACCAGTTCAGGGAGGGGCCAGAGGAGGAAATTGGCTCCGTGTTCCTGGCTGTTCCCGGGAGACCTCGAGCTGTTGGCCTCACCCCCATGCCCAGCCCTCTCAGCCTTCTCTGCCACGCTCCTGTCATCCCCACGGTCTGGGCTACAGGTGCATCTGGAGCCCAGCCAGCAGGGCTGCTGGCACCCAAGGAGGTGTTCATGGAAAAGGAAGTGGACCCCCAGTCATTAGCCTGATGTCAACCCAGCAGCTGCATCAGTGTCATGCTTGCTGCTGTTGCCACAGCAGGGCACACCTAAGGCTCTTGGTTATTTTTACTAAATCATCCTCCTAGAACGCTGGTGCTTACCTAGTACAAAATGCCTGACCCTGGACTGTGACACTGGTGGTCACAGCCTGTACAGCTTGACCCTGTCTGGGAAGACTAGCTTCAACCTGCAGTGAAACACTCATAGAACCTTCCAATTGCTGGATCCTAGGGCGGGGGCTATAGTCAGCCACCCGGGCCCGTACAGGATCCCCTTCTCTGGCCTGGCGGGCAGGCCGTACCTGCAGTGACCGATGGGGACCTCACTGTCACACAGCAGCCACCGTGTCGCAGCACTGAGTTAGTTCTTCAGCACTGACACAGACATCTCCCTCCCTCTGCCCTTGATCCCCAGGTTCGTCCTTCATTCATTGAGTGAGTATTTGTTGAGGGCTTGTTTTTTGCCAGACACTGGGACAAAGCTGTCTCCTGGACCTCTGAGGCCAGTGGGCAAGAGAGACAATTAATAGACAGGAAAAGAAACCACTGACTCCCCCTGACATAATGGCCTGGGTGTCTGAGCAGGTGGCCCTGAGGGTCACTTGATCTTACAGGTGGGGAAGGTGGCTGAAGGGCGGAGACCAGCATGAGCACAGTGCCACCTTGGAGATCTCCAAGGACAGTGCCCCTGCCCTGCCCTGCTCCCTGGAGCTGTCTCCTCTCCTCTTTCAAGCGCCTCTCCTGAGAGGGCTTTCCTTAGCCCTCACGGCCTGGTCTCCTGGCCTCTGCATGGATGGCCCAGAACGGAACGCAGTGTGTTCTGCACAGTGTCGGGTGGGGGGACAGTGCCCTCCAGACTCAGCCTCAGAATGCAGGGGTGGGGTCACCTTTCTGAAGGCACAAAGGGGGCTTTAGGCTCAAGCCCTCACATAATGGCATGAACAAGAGGCTTTAAAGGTCTCCCGAAGTTCAGGGGGCACGGTGCTTCGAAAAGGACAGCTCTGAGCCAGAATGGGATATCCTGCCTGTGCATCACCAGCCTCACCTGCCCTTCCAGGAGGGCAGGGCACTGTGTGGGTGGGAAACGCAGGGACAGAGGTGGGCAGTCTTGACATTCCGGTGAGCAGCTCAGCCCTGAGACACTGACTTTGCCCGGCTTCTTTCTCTGCTGTCACAGCCCAACTATGGAAACCAGCAGTACGGACCAAACAGCCAGTTCCCCACACAGCCAGGCCAGTACCCCACCCCCAACCCCCCGCGGCCACTGACTTCACCCAACTACCCCGGGCAAAGGATGCCCAGCCAGCCAAGCACCGGGCAGTACCCGCCCCCCACAGTCAACATGGGGCAGTATTACAAGGTGAGTCCCACCACCCCACATCTCTACCCCAACGGTGTCTTTTAGGCCGTGGTGTCCCCTGAAGTCACCGGGGGCAGGCAGAGATTTCTGGATGTGTCTTTTGCTCAGAACTCTGCATTATAAGTGATGAAACGGCAGACTGGCTTCTCTTGGTTTCTATTCTCATGGGCTCAGATGATGGTTTTCCTTCTCCTTTTACTATTTACAGTACACGCTAACAATAAAGGAAATACATTTTTTATTTATTTATTTTTATTTTTTTTTATCCTCACCCGAGGACATTTTTCCATTTTTTGTTCAGACAGAGTGGGAGGGAGAGAGAGGAAGAGAGAGAGAAACATCGATGTGAAAGGGACACATCGAGTGGCTGCCACCCGCACGACCGACCAGGGCCAGGGACAAACTGCAACCGAGGTACATGCCCTTAGCGGGAACCGAACCCGGGCCTCTCAGGACCACAGGCCGACGCTCTAACCCCTGAGCCAAACCGGCCAGGGCAGGAAATACATTTTTTAAAGGAAAAGCACCCTGAACATATTAGCATTTCCTCTAAGCCTTGTTTCTCTACATGCGTGTGGGCACCGCATGTTATATAGTTGTTATGGCTGTAATTTTTTTAAATTATGTTTTTATTGTTTTTTTAGAGAGAAACATCAATTGGCTGCCTCCTGCACGCCCCCTACTGGGGATCGCGCTCACAATCCAGGCACATGCCCTGACCAGGAATCCAACTGTACCTCTCAGTCCACGGGACAATGCTCAGTCTACTGAGCCCACTGGCCAGGCGTGGCTGCAAATGTCTAACTAATCTGTTTCTTTCACTCGGCATGAGATCATAAGCATGTTACTTATTGCTACAGTGTCTCTGTGGTTTCCCTTTTGATGGCTGCCTGACACTCCACTGAAATAGCTGTGCCCTGTTTGCCCTTCCCTTTCTATTGGACATCGGGTTTTGTCTGCTTTTTCACCTGTGACGTAATGCCGTGGTGAATATCTTCAGGCACATAGCTTCTCTTTCCCTTTGGGATTATGATATAGCACATTCTCAGGAAACACTTTACATGTGTTTGCCGAGGAATTATGCCAGCCTACGTGACCACCTGCTAAGCAGCGTTACTATTTTCACTCCAACTTCAGCACACGGGGTGTTTCTATTTTTGCAAACTCTTTTGCTAAGCTAATAACTGTGGACAGAGAGGTGAAACGCTGTCCCCAGGGGGTGACCTGCTCTATACCCATCTGCTCCCCACCCCAGTACTGGAGGCCTCTTCAGCACCCCTGTAGAGAGCGGGCTTTTCTGCCCTGCACTCCCAGCGTTGTTCATCTTGTTTCAACAGCCAGAGCAGTTTAACGGACAGAACAACACCTTCTCGGGAAGCAGCTACAGTAACTACAGCCAAGGGAACGTCAACAGGGTGCGTGCGGGTTTCATCTCAGGACCTGTAACCCACGTGCCACTCCCACCCCAGTCTGCGTGCTAGCAGGGCCCGTGGGTGGGTGTGCGCTCCCGTTCATCTGCTCCAGGGCACAGAGGCCTGGACAGAGCATCCGCAGCTCCAGGGGGTGGGGCAGTTTGATTGTGGCCCTGGCCAGTCCTGGAAGAAAGCAAGGTGGGGACTAAGAGAAGGCGAGAGGGATTTCTGGGCAGCCAGCTGCCCCACGGTACTGCAGGCCTGACTGTCTGGAGACCCCAGGGGCGGGCGGGATGGAGGCAGTGGCCTGGAGTCATGACGTGGGCAGTGGAGCCTGGGCTTGACCCAGCTCTTTCCTCCCAGGGTTTACATCAGACACCCTGAGCTTGGGTCCCCATTTGTCAAATGGGCTTGGGGACCCTGCACCCCCTAATGGAGCGTAGGAAGGCCCTTCCCAGACCCACCTGTTTTCCAATGAGGGCAGAACCCTGAGTGAGCCGGGAGGGAGGGAAGGAGGGAGTGCTTTCCCTGGGGCTCTCCTCCCTCAGGAGCAGGGGCCACAGCCTAGGACCTGGGTTGGGTGAGGTGTATGTCCATGGTCGGGGCCCCTTCTGTTTCCGTGACCCCATAACCTATGTGTGGTTTCTCTTCCAGCCTCCCAGGCCAGTTCCTGTGGCAAACTACCCCCACTCACCTGTTCCAGGGAACCCCACACCCCCCATGACCCCTGGGAGTAGCATCCCGCCATACCTGTCCCCCAGCCAAGATGTTAAGCCTCCCTTCCCGCCTGACATCAAGCCAAACATGAGTGCTCTGCCCCCGCCCCCCGGTGAGTGCCCACTCTCCCTCCCGTGTCCACCAGGGCTGGGCGTCGGCCTCCCTCTTGGGAATGGGCGTGTAGAAAAGGCAGGAGGGCTTGAGAACCGGAAGCCACACCCTCAGGACCTGCCGGGCAGCGGGAGGCTGGGGGAGGGGATGCAGAGCAGGACACAGGGATGGTCGATGGTCTCCCGGGAGACTGGAGGAAGTGATGGTCTCCCTCGTGTGTACTAGGACACACAGCCCAACCTGTGTGTTCCTCTGAGCGCGCAGCCAAGGGTGCCTGTCACGTGGGTGGGTGAGTCCCACCCACGGAGCCACATTTCTGTGCCGTGGTGGCAGAGGCATGTGGCTCATCAGCCCCCTCCCCCCGCCCCAGCCACCCACAATGACGAGCTCCGGCTCACGTTCCCCGTGAGGGACGGCGTGGTGCTGGAGCCCTTTCGCCTGGAGCACAACCTGGCCGTCAGCAACCACGTCTTCCACCTGCGGCCCACGGTGCACCAGACGCTGATGTGGAGGTGAGCAGGGCCGGCGCGGCCCGACTGGGGGAGACGTGCCTGGGCCCGGCTTTCCCTGGACCCATGGTGGCAGCATTTGCCTGCCGCCGTCACCTGTTCAACAACACTGGCTGGGCCCTCTGTGTGCCAGGCCCTGGGGTATTGCGGGGAACCTGCAAGTACAGGAGGGACAGACAAGCAGCCTTCTCGTGGTGGCCCCAGGGAGGGGAGCAGCTGTCACTCGGCCCAGTCCTGAGAGAGCGGTCAGGGCTGTCTTTCCAGAGGAAAAGGTGGTGTCTCAGACCCGAAGACTGAGCAGGGGGTATTCCAGCAGAGGCCCTGAGCTGGCAGAGGAGTGGAGGGCGGTTTGCTGTGACCACAGCAGGAAAGTGGAGATGAGCGCGAGTGGGAGAATGCACCAGACTTCTAGACTGTAGGCTGGCCTTCAGCAGGGCTGCTGCCCAGACACCAGGACGGGCTGACGGGACGAGAGGTCCCCTGCCGGGCTAGGCCTGTGTTCCGTGCCTTCCATACCCCAGCTTTGATCTTTGGAGTGGGCAGTGCTTGCCCTGTTGACAATGAGGAAATGGGGCCTGAGAAGCTGATTAACTTGGGGGCTTCTCAGAGCTGGCAAAGGGCAGAGCTGGGCCTTGGGTCCGGGTCTCTTGGACGCCAGAAGAGGAGAGCTTGGGGGGCTGGGGGAGCAGTTGAGGCCAAGGATGAGGTCGGAGGCACTTACGGGGCTGTGTTGAGCTGGGGATGTGTGGCCTGGCCAGGGTCATGGGAGCCACAGGCTGCCCCTGGCAGAGCTGACTGAGCCCCGCCCCGCCCCCAGGTCTGACCTGGAGCTGCAGTTCAAGTGCTATCACCACGAGGACCGGCAGATGAACACCAACTGGCCCGCCTCGGTGCAGGTCAGCGTGAACGCCACACCCCTTACCATCGAGCGTGGTGACAACAAGACTTCCCACAAGCCCCTGCACCTCAAGCACGTGTGCCAGCCGGGCCGCAACACCATTCAGATCACCGTCACAGCCTGCTGCTGCGTGAGTGTGACAGGGCTGAGGGCACAGCACTGGGGGCGAGATCCTCACCCTCCCTTCTTCAGCCTCGTCCTTGGTCTCCGTCCCCTGTCCCCACAGCCACTGGAGTGAGCTCTCAGAAACACACTCCCAGGGCTGTGGGATCAAAGCCTCCAAAGCCCTGTGCTCTGGCCTGTCCCCTCACTCTGCGGCCTCCCTGTGGTCTGCACGCTCACCTCCACTTACTCCATAGGCCCTCCCCCTGGACCCCTTCTTCCATGTCACACCTTCCTCAGAGCCGTGTGTCCCTCGAAGCTGGGCTCTGCTCTGGCCTCATCCTCAAGACATTTACATCATCCAGTTACCTTCCCCCAGACCCGGCTCCACCAAGTTGGGAATAATTCCCTTCTTCCCTTCTTCAGTCAACCCACTGTCTCAGAATTGCATGCACATATGTGTGTGTGTCCCTGACCTGTGACTCTGGGGCCACGTCTGAGCCACACCTCTGTCCCGAGATCGGGGCCGGGCACACGGGGCTTTCATGGACGTGGACTGTTTGCCTTGTTCTGGTAGCTTCTCTGGGGGACAAAGAAGAGGGAAAAGTTCTGGTCTTGACCTTCTGAGCGTTAGGGCTGCGGGGCCCCCGGAGACAGGAGTCAGGACCGGGGATGCTGTCAGAGTGAAGAGCTGTGGGGACTTGGGGTGTGCAGTCCTGGGAGGCTTCTGGAGCAGTGAGGACAGGGACGCTGCCCGCAGGCAGGATGACGGGGTGCCGGGATGCTCTAGTCCTGATGCCCAGTGTCCCCTGACCACCCAGGGGTGTTTCAGTGTCCGTCACAGCCTCACTGGCTTAGAGGCAGCTGCTCCCAGGTGGTGACCCCAGCCCGAGCCTCTCGACTCAGGCCCCAGGACACATCCTTGAGGGCTTTCTCAGGTGTCTCCCCCGTGATGCTCCCAGAGTGCATTGCTGTGGACATGGCGTCCTAGGGGTCTTCAGGGTGGGGCACCTGAGCCGCGGCAAGGTGCAGGTGCAGTGGGCCCTGGGGCCATGGGCAGGGCCCGAATGTGCGCTTTCCCTTGCAGTCCCACCTCTTCGTGCTGCAGCTGGTCCACCGGCCCTCCGTGCGCTCCGTGCTGCAAGGCCTCCTCAAGAAGCGCCTCCTGCCGGCTGAGCACTGCATCACCAAGAGTGAGTGTGAGCCGGCCCCAGCCTTCCTGGCCACCACCTGCCTGAGGCCTTGGCTCTGCACGGCGCCCAGGGCCTGAGTGTTCCCCGCCCTGACTCCTGCCCCTCCTCTGAGGCCGTGGGGATGATCTGATGAGCAGGATGTCCTAAGACCAGGAATCCTGACCCACCTGGCTCACAATCACAGGATGCGAGGCAGATTAACACACAATGTCATGTGGTGTAGACAATCCAGGCAGGCTTCCTAGAGGAGGTGATCACCTGAACAGAGGGGAAGAACTAGAGAGGGGAGGAATCTTCACAGGAGAGAGGCGCGGGGTGGATTCAAGGCTGACCTCCATCCCCAGCAACTCATGTCTAACTGACTCACAGTCCATTCCTTTGGAGGAGACCCCAGGTGACAGCTCTGGGGGTGCCATGCAGGGAGGTGCCCCGCCGCTCCTCCCTCGGTGATGCTTGGTCACGTTACTTCCTGCTCCCTCGCATCCCTGCAGGCAGTTGTCCGTTCTCATCTCCACACTTCAGAATTACGTGCAAAAGCGCCTGAGGGGGCTCCGCTGACCCAGAAAAGCACTGGAGAAGTGCCAGATGGGGTTTCTGCAAGTTTTGCAGAAAGCCCTTCCTAGGGAAGGCGGGTTGATGTGGTCACCTCCAGGTGCAAATGCACGCCACGCGTGGTGCATGGGGGCTGCCGGTGCAGCGTGCTGGGCGGCCTGGGGTTCCCGGCAGGCTCCGCTCCCCTCCGCTACAGTTATTCACAGAACCTCCAGTTTCTGGGTGGGGGCAGAGAGCCAGAGTGTGTCAGCTGCATGAGGGAGTGGGGGGGCGCTTGAGCAGGGCCCTGCCGTCCTCATCCACCTGTGCCTCCTGCTCCACAGTCAAGCGGAATTTCAGCAGCGTGGCAGCCTCGTCAGGCAACACCACCCTCAATGGGGAGGACGGTGTGGAGCAGACGGCCATCAAAGTGTCTCTGAAGTGCCCCATCACGTTCCGGCGCATCCAGCTGCCTGCTCGAGGTCACGACTGCAAGCACGTGCAGGTGAGCCGTCCGCAGGAGCCGCTGGCGGCGGGCTGGGTGCCGGGGGCAAGCAGAGGGCAGCGGGGCCTGTCTCCCACCTCTGAAGGACACAGTAGCCACCAGCAGCTGATTTCACTCGCTCCACCGTCATTATCCTCTGAGCATCTCCGCATGCTCAGCGCTGGGGCCCGGGAGGCTTCAAACCAGATGCAGGCAGTTCCTGCCCTGGCAGACGGCAGGTGCCAGCTGGAAACCCCACACCTATGAGCAAGGCTGGTCAGGACCTGAGAGCAGGCACACCTCTGCCTGGGCACTGCTGTGCTCCAGGGCCGTGCCCCGAGCAGGTGTTCAGGAGGTGCTGGATGAGTGACTGTCGTAGTCTGGTGGCTGTGACAGAGCTCTGGGCACATGCAGGCAGTCGGGGTGAGCAAATTCACGGAGCTGGGCTGCTCGGGGAAGGAATCCCAGAAGAGGGTGTGAGAAGCCGCTGCAGAGGAGCCTGGGCGTGAGCCTGAAGGGTGGGCAGGAGGGAGAGAAGGCTCTGGGGCCAGACCAGCGGCCCTCTCAGCCCCACCCTCCCACACAGCCTCCCAAGGACTCCACACCCCTCTGCCTCAGGGAGAGCTGTGGGCAAGATGGACATCTGGTCACTTTGTTTGACACGCTGATGAACTGGACCATGTGTGTCCTCAGTCCCTGGCTGGGCTGATGGGAAGGAAGACAAGTCCATGCTGCCCCCAGCCTCAGTGAGAGGGGCTGTCATAGGAATGATCAGTGAGGGACAGCTGCAGGGGAACCAGGCAGGCTGAGGCGCAGGGGTGGCATGAGGAGGGCTGGGCACAGGTGTGCAGGGGCAGAAAACAGACCCCGCCCCACAGCCAGCCCTCAGTATCCCCGCCATCTGTCCCTGTCTGGTGGGGGTCTCCATGAGGCCCTCAGAAGCTCCAGTGTGTACATCAAAGCAGTTTCTGAGAATCTTAATCTCGTCTGTCTGTTCATCTGTCTGTCGGCCTCTGCAGTGCTTTGACCTGGAATCATACCTGCAGCTGAATTGCGAGAGAGGGACCTGGAGGTGTCCTGTGTGCAAGTGAGTGACGCCTACCCCAGCGGGGCCCTCGGACCTCCCCCTGGCCTGAGAGCCAGAGAGAACCCAGATGCAGCAGGGGCTGGGCGGCAGGCATGCACATCACCTTACCCCGCATCACGCTGTCACAACTCACCCTCTGTCAGTGCCCGCAGGGATAGGGGCGCAGCAGGGACAGGGTGTCACTGTGCCCCACCCCTTCGGGTCCAGGAGCAGTGGCCAAACCCTTTTCTCTCTGCAGTAAAACTGCTCTGCTGGAAGGCCTGGAAGTGGACCAGTACATGTGGGGCATCCTGAATGCCGTCCAACAGTAAGTGGGCCTCCCCAGCCAGGGAGAACGGAGGCAGGGACCTGGGCAAGGACGCCTCGGTGTCTGTCCCCAGGAGCCTCAGCTCTGCCCCTTGCCCTCCCTAGCTCCGAGTTTGAAGAGGTCACCATTGACCCCACGTGCAGCTGGCGGCCAGTGCCCATCAAGTCAGACCTGCACATTAAGGATGACCCCGATGGCATCCCCTCCAAGCGGTTCAAGACCATGAGTCCCAGCCAGATGATCATGCCCAACGTCATGGAGATGATTGCAGCCCTGGGCCCTGGCCCGTCCCCCTACCCACTTCCGCCTCCACCCGGGGCCAACAACTCCAACGACTACAGCAGCCAAGGTGGGTGTCGCCAGACAAGGAGGGCTGGAGGAGGGCACAGGACTTCTTTGCTGCTGGAGCAGGTGGGGGGTGCCGTGTGGTGAGGCAGAGGTGGCATACCCCCCAGAACATTTCCACATCACTGGACTTGGGGGTACGGTGCCTGTGCACTGCGATCCTCCTGTCTGTCCAGCCGCCTGGTTCCATCCTGCCCTGTGGGTCGGTGCCCAGCTAGGAAGCACAAGTGAAGAGCTGCCCCGCGGGCCAACCCCTGCCTCCCCAGCCCACCCAGCCCGGCAGCTCCTTGACTGCCGGGGCTCCTGAGACAGCTCACTGCCACCTCCTCCCCGGCCTGAGTGTTGCTGGAACTGACAAGGACTCTCACCTGCTGCTCTTGCTCTTCCCCGGCCCTCCCGTGTCTCTGACATCTGCACCTCTCCCACCCTGCCAGGGGCGCAGTCCAGGGGTGTGGAGCTCCAGCCTTTGGCCATCAAGGTCACCATCACTGCCCTCTTCCTCTCTACTTCCCAGACCAAGCTCTCCCGTGTGGCCACCCCCTCAAACGCGGGGTGGTCGCTCCCTCACGGGACCCTGCTGCTAGGTCCCCAGAGCTCCTGCATGCCTGCGGGCCCAGGAGGTCAGCTCCCCAAGCCCGGGCCCCTCCCGTGCTGGGAGGCCAGGCAGCTGACTTCAAATGGCATCATCTTGATTCTGACACAGCTTTCTTCATGAACTTGGCAGATCCCTCCTGCCCTGGCCTCGGGTCGTCCCCGTGATGAGGTGCAGCCTTAGGGGGCAGGGGGTGAAACCGGCTCGGGGACTAGCTCAGCATACCCTGTGGAAGGCTGGGTCTGGGGCCTCAGCCCTCAGGAACCGGCCCCCACTCTCCCCTCCGCCCCTCAGAGCTATTGGACAGCTCGTGCCCCGGGCGCCAAAGCCCGCTGGAGAAGGCGGCAGGAGCCGACTTGGGCCTCAGAAGGACAGGACTTGCTTTTTGCTTTTTTGTTTTTCTTTATTGACTTGAAAGAGAGAGAGAGGAAGTGAGAGGGAGAGAGAGATAGAAACATCGATGAGAGAGACCATTGACGGGCCACCTCCTGCATGCCCCTCAGTGGGGATTGGGCCCACAGCCTGGGCATGCATCCTGACTGGGAATCGAACTGGCAACCTCTTGGTGCATGAGTCGACTTCACCCCGAGCCACACCGGCTTGTCAGGACTTGGTTCTTAATTTACACGCTCTGCAACCCAGGGGTGGTGTCTTCCCTCCAGGTGACCGCCCTCCGATTTGTTCCCCCAGGCAACAACTACCAGGGCCATGGCAACTTTGACTTTCCCCACGGGAACCCCGGAGGGACGTCCATGAACGACTTCATGCATGGGCCCCCCCAGCTCTCCCACCCTCCAGACATGCCCAGCAACATGGCCGCCCTGGAGAAGCCCCTCAGCCACCCCATGCAGGAAACTGTGAGTACCTCGTCCTCGCCCTCCTCTCCCGTACGCAGCTTCCGCGTGGGGCCGTGGGGCAGGGGCCCCCCGGACCATGCAGGCGTTTGCCTCATCCCCCCGGCAAAGGGGAGGACCGAGAACTGGTTTGGGGGCTCAGAAGGGAGTGAGACTGACTGAGGCGTCCTCGGCCATCCCGCCAGGACGTCAGCTTCTCAGGAGATGGGAGCTTCGTGTACAAACACACATACCGCACACATTCCCCAGTGCACCTTCCCCCCTCCCCCCCACGTGCACACACTCTTACACTGTCTACGTAACCCTGGCCGTGTAGAATTTTGTCCCAAACCCAGGCCCTTACTCCCCAGGGGTCTGATTCCTTGGGGTATCATCACCCCCTGTAAAGAGAAATGCCAGGAAAATTACCTATCCTGTAGGTGCCCACTTCTTGTCCCATTTCACCTATTCACACACACCCTGCACCGCGGAGAAAGCCCCTCCTGGGCACAGTGCCATCACCACCCAGAGGCCTCCCCTTCCTGTGGCCCTGGTGGCAGGGGTAGGTGGATCCCATTCGACGTAACAGATGTTTCCTTAGCTTCTGCTTCAGGCTGGGCCTTGTACCTGCTGGAAGCAAGACAGACACAGGCTTACACTACTGGAGCAAAGTCCTGGAAGGGCTGGATGGAGGAAGTTTTGGGGAGGTTTGGAGGAAGTCGGTGTTTGGGGGAAACTGAAGTCTGAGGCTTCCGTGATTCTGTCCGCTCCTGATGGGGACGAGGAGAGGGCCTGGCAGTGGGCCGGGCCATGCCAGCTAGAGACCAGGGCCCAGGGCTCCCACAGCAGGGTCCTGCTGGGCAGCAGGATTGGATGGTCCTGCACCAGAAGGTGCCACTCAGACCCTCCAGTCCTTCATCACGTGGCCTGGAAGGAAGGGGCTCCAGACTGCACTGTGTTCCACACACCTGATGTGAAATTGTCCCTGCCACCAGGGCGTTGTCCTGTGGGCCAAGCCAGCTGGTGCTTAGCGACAGCGGCGTGAACCAGTAATCTGGGTGAAGGTGCCGCCGTGGCCTCCCTGCAGGACCCCAGAGTGCCATGTCAGAGACAGCTGCTTTCTCGGGACTTTGGCCACAAGTTTGCAAGTTACTTTCTGCCCTCTAGGGCTTCTACTTCTGAGGTCCTCTCTCTGGACCCCCTTTCGCAGCCCTGTTCCCAGGGCCTCGGCACCCATGCCAGCACCCACACCCACACTTGTACATGTTGTGCATGTCGGGCCTCACAGCTCCCGACACTGACAAACGGCAGCAGATGTCGAACAGGCTTCCTCTTGCCTTGTGTGCCCTGCGCCTGGGCTCTTCAGAGGGACCTAACCCTGTGAGTGTACTTCACAGCCCAGGACACCCCAGAGATGCCCTGTTCTTCCCCGTTTCTGGGCTCTCTCCAGATGGCAACTGGACCCGGAAGTACAGCTGTGCAAGGTGGGCTGGGGTGGTCACAGACAGACTCCCCCACACCTGCCCGACCAGAACACCTGCCCCAGCTGAGCATGGCTGGGAAGGATTCCCCTGCATGCAAAGACTGGCGGGAGGGCATCAGCCAGGCACCGGTTACTCAAGGACTGTCCCATGCCAGTGGCAGGTTGGCAGGTATTGGCAGCAGGCCCCAGAGAACATCTGCCCCTGTGGGTGCTGAGACGGTCCAGCACAGTGTCAGGGTCAAGGGGAATGGCTGTCAGCACTTCTGGAGATTGTCCTGGGCCAGGATGCCCCAGGAGTGTGGAGCCCCTTCATGGCCCCAGAGCGGGCACCGTGGGCATCCACAGGCACGGGTGGAAATCAGAAGCTGGCCTTGCACAGACAACAATGGTGACCATCCCCCAGCATCTCCTGGTCCTTCTCACCTCATGTGTCCCCACACTGGGTGCCCGCGGTCGTCTCCGATCGCAGAGTCCGGGCCGCAGGGCCGCAGGGCTGTGGGACGAGGGGCCGCCTGGGCCTTGAGCAGAGGCCAGCTCACAGGAAGGCCTGGGAGCAGCTTTCGGGAGAAACAGGAAGAGGAACTAGGGTCTAGAGAAAATCGGGGAAGGTGTGGCTGTCAACTTCAGACCCACGAAGGGAGAAGGAATGTGTCTGTGGCACCCAGGAGGCGGGCGGGCAGGGGTACAGACCAGCTGCCCGTTGGCAGCGGGAGGCCTGTGGGTGTGCTGGGAGTGGGTGAGGGCTCAGCCTTTCCCCTCAGCCTGAGCTCTGGAGGCAGGGTGCCTGGCACAGCAGCCAGCCTGGCAGCTCCCGGGTCCCAGTGCGCGGTCACCTGGCAGCAGTGCTGCCTGCCCTGGCCTAGCGCCTGGGGCCCTGGGGTCCGGAGGCGGGAGGGCCTGCCTCGCGCAGTTCCCCGCAGTTCCCCGGGGTGCAGCCTCTGGCTTTCTGGGCAGTGCTGAGACCCCGCCCCCCACCCGGCTCCTTTGATTTCGGCTCAACTCTACCTTGACTCAGACATCAGGCAGGGCTTGTACCGAGGCTCCGGGAAGAAACTTGTGTGCCCAGCGCTGCCCCTGCCCAGGTCCCCTTGGGGCACAGACCCACTCCTGAGCCGCACGCCTGCCCCATGCTGTCTGTCTGCGTCTGCTCTCCACCCTGGCCCTCAGGTGCCAGCAGCACCCCCCCTCCGCTCCCTGGAAACATGCCCATTCGCTTCTCCATCCTGCCCTCGCTGTTGTTCATTGTGGTGGTGGTGTCAGGCTGGGGAGGCGGAGGGCCGAGGGCCCACCCCGCGCAGTGTGTCTCTCAGCCCTGCTGGCTCCCTCCTGGGCTCCAGCCTCCTGCCTTGCTCTCCACAACCTCCTGACTGGCAGTTTTGGGGGGAGAATTTTTCTGCAAAAAGAAAGCATTCAGCTTTGTAAAGGGGCAGCTTTGTTTTGGGGTTTGTTGTTTTCCTGGTTTTGTTTGGTTTTCATTCCTCAGGCATCTTGTGGCTGTGCCTCGTCCCTCACCTGTGTTCTCTCCTGCTCTCTCCTCCTCCACAGATACCACACGCTGGCAGTTCTGACCCGCCCCACCCCTCCATGCAGCAAGGTCTGCACGTCCCACACCCCAGCAGCCAGTCAGGGCCTCCATTACATCACAGTGGGGCTCCTCCTCCTCCTTCCCAGCCTCCCCGGCAACCGCCACAGGCCGCTCCCAGCAACCATCCACACAGCGACCTGACCTTTAACCCCTCCTCAGCCTTAGAGGGTCAGGCCGGAGCGCAGGGAGCATCCGACATGCCGGAGCCTTCGCTGGATGTAAGTTGGGGTCCCCACTTGCCTTGGCCTGGGGCTAGGCCTGGCCCCCAGGACCTGCCCAAAGAGCAGGGGTGGGTGTTGAGGGCTCAAGGCCCGGGTGGAGGAGGTGTAGCTGCAAGGGGTGGGTGGGTGGTGTGTGGGCCCAGGCAGCTTGCCAGGAAACCCCACAGCGGGGAAGCCTCCCCCACCCTGCCAGCCCCTGCCCCCTTGTTCCCTTGGCCACAGTCCTGCAGCGCAGCCCTGCCCCACTGTCTCCTGAGGCCCTCACAGAGTCCCCCTGGGCCCATCTGCAGGCAGCATAGGAGGCTCCTGCCCCCCCCCCCCCCACATTGAGTTTGCCATCTGGTCTGCCACATCTCTGGTCGAGGCGAGGGAGGGCTGGAGCAACCGCCCTGTCTCACTGGTGTGTGTCTGTCTCCGGTTCTTGTCCGTGTGTTATCCATGCCCTGTGCTGCTGCTTGCTCCATCGCTCACTGAGGGGCCCTGTGCCGGGTGACAGTGGGACCAGCCTCCGGTCACATGGGGTTGCCGAGGCGGAAGTAGGGCTGAGAGTCAGAGACCGGCATGGTCTGGAAGACGGGAAGATGCTGGGGATGACGGGGGCTGGGCAGCTGGCCAGGGCTAGACGGGAGAAACAAACAGAACTTGCCCCTCCCCTCCCAGCCCCAGGCTCTGGATTGCCAGAGGAGGCTGCTGTCTCAGCCCCCTGCCCTTCACGCCCAGCCTGCGGTCGCTGGGCCCAGCGGTGTCCGGCCCTTTGGGGAAGGAGGGCCCCTCAGTTGTGCAGTCACATTGGGTTCTCGCCCAGCTCGCCACAGACCCGGCCAAGGGGTGCCTTTAGATTCACAGGATCCGCCTGTAACATGGTAGCGGGTAGAGACAGTCCCACCTCGGCCCGGAGGCCACAGGAAGGACGGTGCTGTCAGCCAGCCCCAGGTTCTGCAAGGAGTCATGAGCTCCTTGGACACAGGGTGGGGGTGCGGCAGGGGTGCCCTACCTCCGTGCAGAGTGGTTTCTGTGGGAGGGCTGTCGGGGCCAGAGGAACTGATCTTGAGGAAGTTTCTTGACACGCTATGGGCTTCCCAGCTGGTGGGCTTGAAAGGAGCGTGGGTGCCTCAGGGCAGCACAGGGGCCTGCGTGCGTCTGGGGACACCAGCACTGTCAGTTTTCTTGTGCGAGCCAGGCCCCTGGGAGGCAGGTGGAAGGCAAGCAAACGGGCTTGGGGGTGCCCTGGATTCCTCACCTACCCTCCTGCTGACACCTCATCTGGCTTCTTTTCCAGCTCCTTCCAGAACTCACAAATCCTGACGAGCTCCTCTCGTACCTGGACCCTCCTGACCTGCCGAGCAATAGTAACGACGATCTCCTGTCTCTCTTTGAGAACAACTGAAGCCCACCTCCGCTGGGCCATCTCTCCCCACTCCGCTGTCCCTGTCTGTCCCGCACACTTTCCCGCCAGGAGCCCGTGTCCTCAGACCACCCTGCTTCGCCTTCTCAGCGGAGGGGCAGAGGGTGCACTGTGAAGGCTGTGGGTCTGGAGTGGGCGCCCAGAGCAGGCCCAAGGAGGACCCTCGCCGGGAGCAGAGGAGAGGGCACTCGCTGACGGCGGCTTCTGGGTCCCTCTGTGTGCTGACTCCCCACCACCTCCAGTGCTCCCCACCACCACCCAGGTTCTTCCGGTTTCTGAACTGTAATCCTGCCTCCCTGCTTCCTGGCCCAGAGCCTCCTTCATGTGACTGAGCCCAAAAGAAGCCACCCCACCCGCACCCCCAGAAACAGGCAGCCGAGCCTCGGAGGAGCTGGGACTGTTGGCTGCAGTGAGCACAGCCCGCCCACCACCACCCACCACAGAAAAGCACAAACCTCTGGGAAAGAGAACCCTCTTGGGGGCCAAGGTTGCCACTTTGACCCTGACCTCCAAGCCAAGACACCCTGTAAACACTCTCCCAGAAAGCAGACAAGAAGGACGAGATTTCGTGTTGGAGAGAGGGTGTGCCATTCCTGCTTGGAGACCGGTGGGGACGGCCACGCCTCCTCCGCGCCCGGACAGCACAGCAGGTGGACTCACTCCGACCCGGGTCCAGCCTGGGCAGAGAGCGAGTGCCCAGCAGAAAGTGTTGTGCCGTCAGTTAAGGGGCAAGGGATGCCCACCAGATGGTCAGTAGGAACGGCAACTTAAAACTTTGCTCCAAGGTACTCCCTGTTTTTAAACAGTTTAAAGCTACGAAGTCATCTGGAGACAAGGAACATTGGACTTGGTCAGCAAGCAAACCACTTCTCTCCACCGTTCTGTTTCCTTCTGTTCCCCCACCGCTCCCAGACTGTGATGTGGACGCCCTTTCCCTCTGTACCGGTTCCCCTGTGTCCCGCCCAGGCGGCAAGGTGGGGTGGTGGGAGGGCGTGGGAGATGCGGACTCGGGGCCTGCAGGCTAGCAGCAGGAACCCCGCATCAGTGTCCCCAGGCTCCATTCTCTGTCTGCCCCCTGCTCAAGGCTGCCCATGTGCTGGGATGCACCATGAGCATCAAGGGGTGTTTCTGTGGCTGCCTCAGACACCTCGCTTGGCTGCCAGCCTCTCCCCTCTGTGTCCCTCTGCCATCGAAAGCTCATCCACACTCCTCCTTCAAACAGAAGCGGCCTCTGGTTTTCCTTCCACCACTTTGCTCCATTCAGCTACTGCTGTGTGCATCTCCTGGGCAGCTGGTGTGTCCGTTCCCTCCCAGGCTCCTCTGTGCTTGCCTAAGCCGCGTGGCCTGGGATGCTGGAGGGCTGTCGGGTCTCTGGTACCACATCTGTAACTCCGTTTGCCCCTCCCTGCTGCTGTCCTGGCCACCGTCTGTGTGCTCAGCCTCCGTCTCCCTGGTGGCAGGTGGTCCCGGCACTCCTCCGGGTTGGACCGGAGAGGTGGCCCTGCCGGTTGACTTCCGGCCGCTGTAGCAGACGGCCAGCACGGGGTGTGAAGGGAGAGCTGCCGTTGTCCGTCCCCTCACCTTTTTTCCTTTGTCCTGTTGTTGAGGTTTTTTCAAACAGTGTGGTGTTCAGTATGCAAATCAATTATTTTAAGAATTGCTTTTGTAAATATCTTTGTGAATATTTTAGTATTGTCTTTGATAATATTCAACATTTTCATGACCTGGTTATAGCCTTTGCTGGTGTTTTTAAAATACTTTGACTCAATGACAAAGACCGAGTCCTTTTTTAAAAAAAAAAACACACAAAAACAAAAAAGCAACCAGGGCTGTCTGTACGACGGAGGGACGAAGAGCATGGTGGCTGTGCGTGAGTCCGACGACCGGGCTGTCCACTGTTTAGAGCCACCCCAGTCTGGCGGGACAAGACGGCACCTGCGGCCTTGCCCAGTGGCCCATAGCCCCTGCCCCAGACAAACGTACAAATGCCTTTCTTCGAAGTTCCTCCTTTCTGCCGTGCTTTTTCCCAGAAAGGCCTGGGGTTCGTTCTGGTTCTTATTGGGGTGTCCCTCTTCTGCTCACTGACCTGTCCCGCAGCTTCCTAGTGCAGAAGGCCGATGTGCTCCCGCACCCAGGCTCCAGGCACCCCTCGGCCATCTCTGAGGGAGCCCCAGTCTCCGCCCTGAGGCCGCCCCGCTGCCCTTTCAAGTGAGCCTCCACCAGCAAGTTCGGCAAAGAGCATTCCTGAGCCACGGTGCCTGCAGCCTGCCCTCGGGGATGTGCTCCCCAGACAGTGGTGCTGGAGCCCGGCCAGGGAGTGGGCGGCATGGGCACTGGGGCTAGAAAAGCCCTAGCTGGTGACAGATTCGGGTGATGACAGCCTCCCCGAGCAGGAGCAGTTCTGAACTCAGGAGATGCTTCCCTGATCCTTTTTGGACGACTACTTGGAGCCATAAGTAACCTCAGCAAAAACGAGGCCTCGGCAAGCCACCTCGCCATGACAGGCTTTGTAGCACCTTTCTGCCGCCACTCCACGAGATGGACAGGGCGCTGGCGGGCAGGCCGGGAGGCCCAGGGACAGGCACCCACCCCATCTTCTTGGTTTGAAGCTTTACCCATGTATCATGTTCCCTGTAACCATTTTATTTTTTAAGAAACTTCTAATACTTTCTCCCTAATGGAAGCCCTAACCCCACCCCACCCCCAGAGAGCTACACGTCTGCTCCCTCGGCCTGACCCATCCAGAGGGTGGTGTCAGCAGCAGCCACTCAAGGGACGTGTGTACATATGTAAATGAGAAATAGAGACATGTTAACAGATGCATTCATTTCCCTTGGAATGTGTATTGTTTTTATTTTACGAAACAAAAGGCTTGGAACTCCATCTTAATGTGGAAAAACTAGATCCTGTTGTTAGCATTTGTGAGGTCTCTGCACCTGTCTCACTATGTAATATACTCTGCCCCTGTGTGGAAAGGAATTTTTGTTCTGTTTTGTTTTTATTTTACCTACATGTACTATTTAGCTTCAGTGTACTAGTCCTGCCACCTGTGTATTTTTAGGGTGCTATGGAAATAAAAGAAATGGGGATTTCGGAAAAAAATTGTAACCAAATTCATACTTTGTATAATTTTTGATATCATGATCACAGGTGATTCACATGTACACACACAAACACACCCACAGTGCAGCCCGAAGTATCTCACAGAAATCTCATCGTCTTTGTGCATCTCTGTACAATGCGAGCATTTCATACTTTAAACTGGTCAGAAAGTAATTGTGATTTCTAGTCTTGCAAAGCTGTATGTAGTTAGATGATGTGACAACCTCTAATATTTATCTAATAAATATGTATTCAGATGAAACCTGTATATTAGGTGTTCATGTGGTTATTTTGTATTTAAAGATCAAATTATTTGACTATTGCTAGACATTTCTATACTCTGTTGTAACACTGAGGTATCTCATTTGCCCATGTTAATTTTTTTCTAAATAAATTGACAAAAATGAAGGTTTGGCGAATTAGCTATTTTGTGAATGTTAAGGAGTGGTTTGGGTGTTTTTATTTTTGATTTTAAACAACCACCCCTGCCCAATCACCCTGCAAAGAAATAAAGGAAGCAGGTGGTTTGGGTGTTGAGTTGGAGGAGCCCCTGCCTTGGGTGTCCCTGGAAGAGGCCCTTGAGATCTGGGGCCACGTGAGGCTGTTTAGAGCCCAGTGCCCTCACCTCCTGGGGTGACCCCTGTCTCAGCAGACCCTGCCCCTGGCGGTGGGGCAGGCAGGTGGGGAGCAGGGGCCTGAACAGGGCCAGGCTCTGGTAGCAAGCAACCTTGTGGGTTCTCTGGGTTTAAGGAACAGGAGCCTATTCCTTGTGTTCACCCCAGAGGGCGCTGTCCAGAGCGTCCTGGAGTGAAACCCTGGGAGCACAGGCCTCAGCACTGAGTGTTGACTGAGCCACTCTGTTGGCTGCCTCTGCTGTCTCTACCATCTTTCTCTGGCCACCCAGTTTCTCCGCATCTCTCCCCCTCCCCTTTAAGGGAGACTTGGGTTTTGACAGCATTTTACTTGGGCTTCTTTGCTCCAGCCCCTACCCAGGCCACCGTTCTAACTGCCCTTACAGACATCAGTGGACTGCCCTTTGTGCTCACTGAGGTTTGGGAAGGAAATCTGACCCGAGCCCAGCAGCAGTTGCCACCCCTCCCCCACATGGCTTTAGCTTCCAGCCGTAGGAAAAATGTATCTTCTGTGGCCTTCCCTCTGCAGGTCCTGGTGAGGGCAGATCTAAAGATGGAAGTGGAAGTTGGCAGGCACCCAAAATATACCCCTGAAGTGTGTGTGGGTATGTGTGTCAGGAGAGTGTGAGGTGTGTGTGTGTGCAGCAGCGGGACGGGATGCGGGGTGCAGGGTGGCATCAGCTACTCCACTGCCTGTGTAATTTCCCACCTCAGGCTTCTCCAAGGTGGCCAGCTCCTCCTGGTGGGAGGGGAAAGGTGAAGGAGAGAAGGAGAATTTACATTAAAAATGGAATCCTGGCCCTGGCCGGTTTGGCTCAGCGGTTAGAGCGTCGGCCTGCGGTCCGGAGAGGCCCGGGTTCGGTTCCCGCTAAGGGCATGTACCTCGGTTGCAGTTTGTCCCCGGCCCTGGTTGGTCGTACGGGTGGCAGCCACTCGATGTGTCCCTTTCACATCGATGTTTCCCTCTCTCTCTCCCTCCCACTCTGTCTGTACAAAAAATGGAAAAATGTCCTCGGATGAGGATTAAAAAAAAAAAAAAGGAATCCTGGCCCCTGCTGAACTGGGGGCCCTGCCTTCTGCCCGCATCCCGGGGCAGGAAGCAAGCGTTTCCTCTGAGAACAGACTCCTCGCAGGGGAGGGGGGGAGCATAAGGGAGAGCATCTGAAAAGGGGCCACTTCTGTGGCCATAAGAAAAGTCCAAACCTACAGAGAATGTGTGAGTTTATTTGAGCCAAACTGACCACAACTGCCGGGAAGCAAGATCTCAACGGATTGAGAAAATGCTCTGGAGAATGTCTGTTTTATCACTTATTTTACACATCAGAATCAAAGGGGAAGACGTAAAGGGTTACATGAAATCCACTGGTGGTCGATAAGGGGGACGGAGAAAACACGGGGATCTCTGAGACTGGATCAAAAGTAAGCCAGGTAGACACACGCCTCTGGTGCACGGTGGGTACAGGACAGGTGGTAATGGACGTTCCCGCACACGGAGTCGGCATTCGGCTCACGCTAACAACGAGGGGGTCTGACTCCAAAGCTGTGTTATCTTAGATGCAAAGAGACAACAGGCTCAGTTAAGGTAAAGCTTGACCATGACTGCTCGCCTCGACTCGCTTTTAGTTAGAAAGTTTTCATTTCACACCATCCTGCGTGGTTCTGAAAGGGGCGGACAAGAATAATAGAATAGAGAACTGACCACAGTGGGCACTAGCCATAGTTGTAAGAAATGTTCATCATCCTTGCTCTGTTCATTGTGGTGGCTTTGTTCTGATTGAAGAAAGCATTCTGACCTGGCTGGGGGTTGTGCACCCGGGACCTGGGAGTTAACCTCGAAATGCAACCATTCTCCCTGTCTGAGGACCGTCCCCTCCTTGGAAAGACTAACAACCTCAGAGCCCTGGAGGGTACACAGGAGACACGCCTTGGAGGCCCCAGCCCACACTCTCCATTCTGCATTACTTCCCCATGCCTGTGATCTATAGCCATTTTACACATTGTAATTCCTTTTGCCTACTTCCCATGTAATCTTTGTCCTTCTCCCCAACATAAAGAGTTGGCTTATGGTGGGGGAACAGATTTTTCAGGGATGACCCACTGCTCACCCCATACTGCTGGCAATATTGAAATAAACACTCATATGCGATTCAACCTTGTCTCTGCTTATTGGCTCAAGTAGTGACAGGCAGCCTGTTTGTTGACCGGTTTGTTTCTTTCACTCTGAGTTCGAAAGGCCCCCACAAGTTTGTTGGGTTTACATGTGGCCCCTTTTGTTAACACCCTGCTCCCCGTTGCCTCAGAGCAGGGCTTCGGCACCCAAGATTCAGTTTGGTGGGTGTGACCAGCACTTTTTAATGAAATACAGTCACCCCTCGCCACTTCGCGGTTCATTCAAACTCTATGCTATATTTGAAAAAATCGCAATAGAGAGAAGCGGCAAAAGTCGAAGCGCAAAGTGTATAAACAAAGAATCCTGCTTCGCTGAAATTCATTTATTGCTGTAGAGTCTGAAACTGACTGACCACGATAAACGAGGGCCGACTATAGTTGAGAATAGTAGAAACATCAAGGGCACTAATGAGGTTAAGCCCAGCCAGTGGGGCTCGGTGGTTGAGCACTGACCCAGGCACCAAGGGGTCACCGGTTCAATCCCCAGCAGGGCACATGCCCAGGTTGTGGGCCCGATCCCCAGTGGGGGGCATGCAGGAGGCAGCCAATCAATGTTCTCTCTCATCGATGTTTCTATCTCTCTCTCCCTCTCCTTCCTCTCTCTCTCAAATCAATAAAGAAAAAACAATTTTTTAAACATAGGGATTGCATCGTGAAACGATCACTGCGTGTGTGTGTGTGTGTGTGTGTGTGTGTGTGTGTTTGCTGAATCATGATGTAAAATTACTTCTTACTTGTGGGTTGTGGTTAGAAACAAAAGGTTTGAATGCCGTTGCCTTAAAGGCAGGAAGTAGGCCGAGGGAGGGTACAGAGAGGCAGGCGGGGCAGTCTGCTCCCTGCTTCGAGATAAGCAAACCTTCCCAGCATTCTAGCTTCAGAGCCTAAACCAGGATGCAACGAAATACAGACCTCTGGCTGCCGTGCAAGGCAGCATGGAGACCTTGCTGCCCACCCCACTACCCACCGAGACCTGTTTCTTCCTCCTGTGGGGGGCAAGCCCAGTGGAGGGCCTGGCTCAGGGCTGCTTGCAGTTCAGCTCCCCTACCCCACCCCCTGCTGCCCCCGCCCCAAACCTGGGGCCGCACGTCACATCCTCCAGCCCCATGGGTCATCTTGTTTCTGTTCTTCCTGACCCACCCCGCAAAGCTTCCACCCTGAGTCCAGTGACTGTCCCTCCACATAAGGCTGTCGGGGCTGCTGGGGAAAGTCATTCGGCCCCACAGGTGAATGTCAGGATGAATCAGGGTCTCCAGCTTCACTGTTTGCCCACTCGCCTGTCCATCCTCGGCTCCAGCCTCCTGCTCAACCACGCCCACTTCATTCTAAGCAGGTTACCTCCCCCACACAAACCCCACCAAGTCCTCCCACCCACTAACCTACCTCTATGCTCCCCCAGCCTTGTCTTCCTCTGCCCAGGCCTGCAGGAGGCAGCGCCCCTTCCCTAACACCATCACGGACACATCACCTTCTCCTCTCGGAGGGACTCACTCCACCCGCAGCCCCTCCCCAGCCTCCCGCTCTCCCCTCCCAGGTCTGGAGCTGTGGGCCCTGACGCCATGCGGTCTGAGCCCACCCCCCACCCCCGCTGTCCAGCTCTGCTCTTTCTTACGAGACTTCTCCGCTGAGGAAACTGCCCGTGCTCACTGTCCTTCCCTGACCGCCGGTCGTCCTCAACACGGCAGCCTGTGTCTGTGACATCCTCCGATACTTCTGCCAGCTCACCTATGACCTCTCGGTTACCAGCGTTTATGCTGCTTTTGGAGCCTGGGCCTCACGGCCTCTGACCACTGCTGTTTCTTCCTTGAAGCTCTCTTCTCGGGGGTCCAAGACATCCCCCTCTGGGTCTTCGGGTCTGCTTGAGTCCCTCTGGTCCTGCCTTCTTGGCCATCCTCCCAGGTTCCCGTGGTGGCGCGGTGCTTCGAGCCCTCCTTTGCTGGTTGGCACGCTCCCTGCACTGTCAGGGTGTTGGCGGCCAGCAGCTCCCAACTTCTCTTCGCTAGAGCATCGGGCAGCAGACAGGGAGGCACATGTACACCCCCGCCGGGAGGCACAGCCTGAAGGCCATCAAAGAGCAGCTCTTTGCTGCAGGGAGGTTAGGGGGCCAGAGTTCTCCCTGGGGGTCAGTCGGGTTGGATTCACCTGAGGCCACAAACTTGCTCAACTCTCTCCTTCCCTGTTCTGTCTCCCTCCCTCCCTAATCCCAGGTTTCTCCTGAGAGTACTGCCTAATGAATCATGGGAATCTGAGACCTGTCGCAGACTCTGCTCCCGGGAACCAGAGCAAGACACGGGTGCCTGCCGGGCATGGGCCTGGAAGGCCTCTGCAGGCAGGGTGCTGGGGACGGATTATTGACCAGGTAGGAATGAGGACCCGTCACTGGAGATAGTCACAGGGAGCCATGCATCGGCTACGACTTTTAACCTGCCGCGAGTTGGGATGGCACACAGGTGAGGGGGCTGTGCCAGCTGGTACCATGTCTCTGGCATTTGGGAGATAAAAGGAATGGCTAACCATTATGACTACAGAACCGAGTGGCTATTGCTAAGTGCCACTGATTCGTCAAA